GTCCCGTCTGGAGACACGGCCTTCCAGAGAGCTCGTCTGTGCTGGCTACGCTGTCTGCTGGCCTTTGACACCACAGGATAAGCCGGGACCTGTTTCCAGCCTGCCTCGGCCATTTACTAGCTGTGCCGCTGAAACTGGGGGCCGGGGGTTGGGTGGGGAGGGCTGAGCTTCCTCATCGGTAAAAGGGGAATAAGCGACACTGGCCAAGTCTGCGATGAGACACGGCAAAGACTCCATGGAATTGAAGTGTGGACATCATCCTGAGATGGACAGCTTTCCCTGCCTTTTGAGGAAGTTTATCTTCCCTCAGAGCTCCAAGCTTGGTGCTTCCTGGCTGGATCGCCTCCCACTTCATTTCTGGGGCACAGGGAGGACTGCAGTCGATTCTCCATTTTAGAGTTGAAGAAACTGAGACTGAGACAGGGGAAGGTGGCAGGGTCAAAGTCAAGCCCAAGAGAGGCTTTCCCCAGGATGAGGCAATCTGAGCCCTGCCACTTTTAGCTGTGTGATCTTAGGCAAGTCACTTAACCTCTCTGGGCCTCAGTTTTCTTACCTGTAAAATGGTAGGGTGATGATAATCATTAATAAAGTGCACGGCACATAGGAAATGTTCAAAATAATAGTTAATACACACTGATCACTGTCTCTGTGGCACTCACTGTTCTAAGTGCTGTTTTTGTTATCATTCTCATTAGCAAGCACAAGTCTCCCCTCGTATTTTCTCCTTTCTGGTGAGGGTTACATTGTAAAGCTCCTCTCCTGCTGCTGCTGCTTCGGTTTCTTTCCTTCTCAGAAACACCTTCCAGAAAGCTGTCTCCCTGAGCCCTCGGTGGGTAACGAGAATGCCCAAATACGACCAGATTTGCAGCCTCCAGGCTTGGAGGAGCCCAGGGAAAGGGGAGAGCAGTTTGGTGCCCCTTCTAGTCCCTTCTGTGAGCCTCCGACTGCATTTTCAATCTGAGGACACGAGGCTGGAATCCAACATCCGCTCGGAAAGGCAGCAAGAAAGCAAGCTGCCCGAGTGAGCTGCTGGGAAATCCCCTGAAACGGCTCCCTCCATTTCCCTCATTTTCACAGACGATGATTTATGAAGACATCTGTCTTCCAGCTTAAATCTGCTTCCTAGGACTTGAGCCGTCTTCGATGTAAAACTAATGAAAGGTTTATGAGTTACTGAGCTCCAGGTACTGTTGATAAACTCCCTCACATGCCGTTGTTACGGCTCGTCGTCTGCACAGCCGCACCTGCAGCGTGGATCATTCTCACCCTCCCCTCCGGAGAGGAAGCCCGTTTGTGCCGCCGCTCGTCCGCTCCACCAGCGGGCAGGGAGAGGTCCAGCCGGCAGGGGAACTAGGGGCTGGCAGAGACTCCAAGATGACGTGGAAAATTTCCAGAAACAGATGGTGGTGATGGTTGCACAACAATGTGAGCATACTTAATGCCACTAACTGTACTCTTCAAAATGGCAAATATGGTAAATTTTATATTATGTATATTTTACCACAATTTTTTAAAATTGATTTTAAAAGGCCACAGCCCTTGGCCTGGCTGCTGCCTCAGCACTCCTTGCAGTCTGGAAGATCCATTTCCTAAACACAGGGTACAAAGCTACTCTGGGACCTCATAACCTGTGGCCTGGAGAGCCTTCCAGGTGTCTGCTTCCATCTTTCTTGCTGTACTGTGAACCCCCTTATCTGTCTGATGAACTGTGGCTTCCTCGTGGGAGGATGGAGCCTCACATCACAGATGCAATAAATATAAGCTTAGTAGATAGAGTGGGCCCTGGAAGCAGATCCTAGCTGGGGTTCAGATCCTAGCTCTGCCACTGAAGGGCTGTGTGGCTTGGAGCAAGTTACTTACCCTCTCTGTGCCTCAGTTTCCTCATCTATAAAATGGGGAGGTACCTACCCCATAAGAAGCTGTAAGAAGTTAGCACTTTTACTATGCTTGGCACCAATAACACCTAGTAAGTGCTCCATAGAGGTGGGCTATTCTTGTCCCCAGCTTCCCCTCTGCTTCAGTTGCTGCTGATGGCATTTTCTTTGGCGTGAAAGATGTAGCAAGGTGGGGGGGTGCGCAGCAAACAGATGGTAAAGCTGGGTGGAGGGTGCGAAATGGTGGCAGAGTTTGAAGTAGGTGTGCAGTGAGGGTCTGCCTTCCCAGACTGCAGTTGCTCACGTCCTAATTTCTGAAAAAGAGTCACAGGGCACAGCCTTTAGGGGCTGGCCACTCTGGAGGCAGATACAGCCACCCCAGGGACCCCTGGTAGCCAAGATATCAGCAGGGATTGGCTGGAGTGTAGGGGAAGCGGGGAGCAGTAACAGCCAGCCCTTATGATCGTATGTGACTTCTGAAGCCTGTTCATAAAAACCAAGGCAGCTTCTGCCTTGTTCTCTCTCGTCTCACTCACTCTGAGGAAGGCACCACCATGTCAGGAGGCTCATGTGGGGAGAAAATGAGGCCTCCTGCCAACAGCCAGCACCATGGGAGTGAGCCATCTTGGAAGTGGGTCCTCCAGCCCCGGTCAAGCCTTCAGATGACCACAGCCCCAGCGGATCTCTTGACTGCAACCTCGAGAGAGACCCTGAGTGAGCTCCTGACCCACAGAGACTGGGAGAAATAATAGATATAGGTGTTTATTATTGTTTCAAGCAACTAAGTTTTGGAGTAATTTGTTATGCAGCGATGGATAATAGAGGTGGGCCAGGGGGATGGGAAGGCAGGGCCAGGAGCGTCTCACACTGGGGTGTGGAGCCGATGGAAGACACCCTGTGTACCTCCCCTACACTTCCACCCTGGTTTTTACTCAAGTGAAATCCACTTCTGAGTTTTGCTGCTTCCCAAACCCAGCCAGCCCTCCGCCCTCCACGCCTGGAACCTGCTGCCTTCTCGGTGCCTCGAGGCTGGGGAGGGGGCTCGTCCTTCTCACCACCCCGGCTGGTGGCTGGGGGCTGTCTAATAGAGAGATCGAGGCGCTGCTGGCAGGAAAGGCTCTGCAGCACCCGGGAGCCCTGGAGATTTTAATCCTCTCCCTCTTTAATCTTTCTTTCACCTCCTTTGGTTCACAGGTCTCCACACACATCGCAGAGTTTCGAAAGATAAGCCCCACAACCGGAGATGGCAACACACCCTCCTCTGCTCCAACAGGAGTAGAATTCAGCCAAGCAGGAATCCACAGAATCTCTCACTGTCTTCTGGGAGCTGGAGGAGCCTGCGGGCTCAGGGACCCAGGAAGCTCCGCCCCAGACTGTTGTTTCCTTTGGCCTCTGGGTCAGTCCTGCTGAAATCCCACAAGGTCCCTGGATGGGCTGGGAGCTGGGGGCCTGCGTTACCTCCGGACTGGCTGGGCCAGGCAGAGGCAGTGTGGCTTAATGGTCAAGAGCAGCGGCTTTTGAAGTCAGACAGGTCTGGAAACAAATCTCAACTTGGCCACTTCCTGCCATGGGACCTCGAACAAATAATTTCTTTCTCTGGGACTTGATTTTGCTGGGCACTCAATAAATAGGCCAGGAGTAGGACTTGAGTGTGCAGGTGACCCCTCCCTGACCTCGGTCCCCCTCAGCCTTCCTCTCAGTAAACCGGCAAGCAAGGCAGCTCTCTGGCCTCTGGGCGCCGGCCAGGCTGGGACACCGTGTGATGTAAGGACGTTTAGCAATCCTTCAGGCCAAAGAACCCCCACATAACAAATTCATTCTGTGCAATAAAAAACTTGGCTGCACCCCTGCTCAGGGCGTCTGAGACCCAAATTGCTGTCTTGGCACCTCAGAGACAGAGAAAGAAGAAATGAGCTCAGGGTCTCTGGGAAAAGACCTTAAAACCTGTTTAGAAATCAGATATGTCTGCCTGGCCTCATCTGCCCTCCAGGTGAGGATGAAGGGAAGGGACTCTGGAGGGCTGCCTGTCGGGCACGGAAAATGGTGAGCAAGGAAGAATAGGGTTCCAGGAAGGGGTGTGATAGGGACCCACAAACACAGGGGCCTCCCAGGCGATGCTCCTTCCCCGACCCAGTGAAGCTCTCGGGGCCGAGGGAGAGAAGAACTCCCTGGCTGGTGTTAGGATGAACAGACCTGAAACGCAGACACAGACCAATAAACAGCCACCGCCTTCCATTCATCCAGGCCCAGCTCGCCCCTCCGCAGACCTCATCCGGTTCCTCTCTTCCTCCCCAAGGCTGCCTTGGATGCTTGCTCATTCCTTCCTTCATTTGACAACCTGACGTTGCCATCCTGTTGGTGCCGGTGAACAGGGAGGGCCGGCAGAGTTAATTAACCAAATTGAAGTTCTGAACTCCAGAGCTTACGGAACCAGTCAACCCCCTCAAGTATCCGTCAAAAAATAGGATATCATGGGGGTGCCAAAGAAAGTGAGAAAAATTGCCCAAGGGAGACTGGGACGGCCTTCATAGAGGAGGGCACATTTGAGCTGGGTCTTGAAGGCTGAGTAGGAGCTCATCTCATGAGGAAAAAGAGAAACAGGAGGAGGAAGAAGTGGAGGAGAGGGGGCAGGTAGGGCATTCTAGGCAGAGAAAGCAGCACATTCAAGGCACAGAGGTGGGAAGAGCATAGAAGGGTGTTTTGGGGGGAAGCAGCAAAACACAGAGGTGGATTTCACTTGAATGTGTGGAGAAGGTACATGGGAGTGTCTTCCATCAGCTCCACACCCCAGTGTGAGATGCCCCTGGCCCTGCCCTCCCATCTCCCTTCTCACCTGTTAGTTATCCATTGCTGCATAAGAAATCACCCCAAAACTTAGCTGCTTAAAATGATAATAAACACCTCTATCTATTATCTCTCCCAGTTTCTGTGGGTCAGGAATTCAGGGGCAAGCTCACTCAGGGTCTCTCTCGAGGTTGCAGTCAAGATGTTGGCCAGGACTGTGGTCATCTGAAGGCTTGACCGGGGCTGGAGGACCCACTTCCAAGACGGCTCACTCCCATGGTGCTGGCTGTTGGCAAGAGGCCTCAGTCTCTCCCCACATGAGCCTCCTGACATGGTGGTGGCTTCCCCAGAGTGAGTCGGACGAGAGAGAACAAGGCAGAAGCTGCCATATTTTTTTATGAATTGGCTTCAGAAGTCACATACAGTCATTTCTGCAGTATTTTATTGAACCCCCAGATCAGCCCTATTCAGTATGAAGGAATACCACACAAGGGGGTGAACACCAGGTGTTGGGGCACCTCCACCGGGCAAGCCTTAGTCTACAGAGTTTCAGGGAAGCAAACACTCAGATTCCAAAGCAGGCTCTTCCATCAGTTTCCATGAGGCTTTTCAAGGCGCCTTCCGATAGTGACTGGGTGGGTGGGTGTGGTATAGGACAGGGCTGGTGCCGACCTTCCCTGGGGGATGGGCCTGTGGGTCAGGAGGACCATCTGTGTCTCTCAAATCATGCCAACATGTATCATATGTGGCATAATCATGCCAACTGAATCCTCCTCTAGTCATTGTGCAACTACCCAGCAGCTTCTGGAGTGGTTATCCTCAAAGCAGGCCCATAAATGTGCCCTCAGCAAATCTCTGAGACAGTGGCAGTTGGGTGCCCCACACTTGACAGGGACCAGTTGTGCTCGTGAGATCCATGCAGGTGCCTGGGACCGACTCAGAGGTTAGAGAGGTACTTGAAAGCTCCCAGGAAGTCTCTGTACGCCCAGCCCAGGTCCTGAACAACTCAGACCTGCCTGCCCCTCAGGCTGCACAGGCCGTGTATGATTGGAATGCCAAGTAGCACCTGCAGACAGTTTTATCACACTCTGTATAATGTGTAAATACCATTAAGTTAGACAGATTTTCTCATTAATTCTCGGTCCCAGTGACAGACCAGGAATTAACACAATTGATTTTCCAGTCCCTACTCATTATCAATCATCCCCAGAACTTAGTCACATTTCATCTGTTCCACCTGGGCCCCAGCATCCGTTTGGAAGCTTCAACATATATTAAACTAATAAAGAGCAATGGGCACTGCGTGTCAGGCCTGGAAACTGGTGGGGATGAGCAAAGAAACAAATCTTGGGCAAAAGTTGCTTCTGGAGTTTCTAGATGGAAGAATGCACAGAGTATTTGAGGGCACAGTCCTGTCCCCTAGGATGCTGGCATTGGCCAGTGGACGCCCAGGCAAGGGTGTTAGTAACTAGATCAATTATGATTCGCTATGTGACAAACCACCTCAAAACTTAATGGCTTAGAATAACAACTGTTTATTTGCTCGTGATGCTGTGGGTGGACAACTTGGGCTGGTCTCTCCTGGGCTCACTCGTGTGCAGTCAGCTGGTGGCTGGGATGGCCAGAGAGTCTAAAACTGACTTCACTCACATGTGTGGTGGTTGGTGCTGGATGTCAGCTGGATGGTCTGAGGACCGCAGCTGGGATGGCTCATCTTTGCTTCGTGTCGCTTCTCACCCTTCAGGGGGCTGGACCCGACTCCTTCACCTGGCAGTCTCAGGGTCGTCCCAGGTGGAGGAGAGCAGAAGCTGCAAGGCCTATTGAGGCCTAGGCTGGGAAGTCGTACAGCATCCCTTCTGCCACATTCAGAGTAAGACAAAGTCCAGCCCGCACTCAAGGGGCTGGGAAAGAGGCTGTGGCTCTTGATGAGAGGAGTGGGGCTAAGGCACACTGCTAAGGGGCGTGCCACAGGGAGGGGGCTTGTTGCAAACAGCGTACCACCGTCCCCAATCTAGGATCAGGCTCTCGGGCCCTCCTCCAACCCTTAATACCGAGAGGAAGTGGCTCTGATTCAAGACCTGACCTTGGTACCCATCAAAGCAGGAGAGAAGTGTGCGTCCCAGTGACCTGAACAGTGACCACATCCAACACTGAGTGGAGGGACAGGAGATGGAGGGAGGAGAGGACCTATGTCGAATTCTGAATCGTGCCTCAATCTGACTTCCCTGCTACCTGGAATGCTTCTGAACCATCTCGCCCCCAAGGCTGAGCAGCGTGTGATCAGAACTGCCCGTTGGTTTTAACATCAGCAAGAGCATGCACACTTACAGAAGCAAATCTCTCGCAAACAAGTGTGTGTTGTGTGTAAGACACTGATTCCAATCCAAGTCGAAAACAATTGAGGATTATCCGCTGCCTTCTCCTGTCTGTGTCATCCCACCCTAATAGAGAGTACTTGATTCCAATGATATAATTATGGAAATGTTAGCAATCTCTACTTGACAAAGGGGTTTTGGGGTAAACGTTTTACTGAGGTGTATTGTACATTCAGAAGAATGCAAAAGTTGTACGTGTGTACATCAGCGACTCTTCTCAAAGTGAATGCCTGCTTAATCTGTGCCCTGAAGCCCCCTTCGGATCCACCCCCCAACAAAGGGCAACCGCTCTCCTGACTTCCGACACCATAGATTAGTTTTGAAAGGTTGTATATTCGTAGGGAAGGTGCTTTAAAGACGCCCATCCGCCCAGCCCAGGTCCCAGCATGGGCGATAACTAAGTTATCGTCACTGGCTTCAGGGTTATTGGATCAGGTGTCCCTGCTCTGGGGCAAGGAGATGGCCTTTCAGCTTCTCAGGGCTCCTCTGCATCCTAAGTGTCATCAGGGCAAGCCCTTTGCTCCAGAGAGCACCTCTTTTGCCACACTAGATCCAAGCATGGGAGCAGGGGTGGGGGTGGGGATTGGGCAGAAGAGTGAGGGGAGGGAAGAAAGGGCCACCAGAGGTCAGCAAGCCACTGGGGGCTCCAGCCAGTTTCCTTCCATTTTCTCCTGGATGACGTTCCTCATCCAACCCCTTGTCACTCAGGATTGCGAGGCAAGCTGTTAGATGGCGTATTAATGCTGGTGTGGAAGGCAGCAGAGCTGGCGGGACACAGTGAGGAGGGGAGGGGTGGGCAAGCTTCAGCAGACCCTTCCTGTGCTTCCCGGAGCAGGACAGAGTGGGTGGGCCTCAGGGAGAGGGGGCAAGCCCTCCCTCAGCTCTGGTACTCAGGGAGCCCGTGCGCTCACCTGGAATCATCACTAGACAATAATGATTGTCTTTATGGAAACCATTTCGGATGAATTCTAATGTGATTCATTATGTGACTTTTTTAGAAGTTCTGCTACAAGGAGGTGAAATAGGTTCTGAATATTAAGTAGTAAGAGGTTACAAAGGGCATCTCTGCCTGTCGGTATTCTCCCCAGTTAATTAGCTTCCTAATACCCATCAGGTAGAGGGGGGATGGGAGAAGAGGGCCTCCTCCAACCCCTACTCTCTCTTATTTCATCCAAGTTGTCCAGGTGGCCCAGGGTACTCTCTGCCCGTGGGAAGCCACTGGCTGGGGGCCTGAGCTCACCTGCCATCAGCCCTTTGGCCCTAACTGGGGGAGGGGACAGGCACAGAGCAGGGTGTGGCACAAGGTAAGGCAGCAAGGGCGTGGGAGATGGAGGAGATGCTGGGCTTCCCTCTCCACCCCATCTCTGCTCCTTCCACCCTACTGAGATATGAAGGATGCCCCTGTGCGGACAGAAGTGGCTTGAGCTTCTCAGGTTTGAGGGTCAGCAGAGCATAAAGAGTTTTCCCCTCACTCCAGCCAGGGGCAGAGGCCGGGCCAGGTCTTTAGTCTCACCCTGCCAGTCTCAAAGCAGAACGGGGCAACCAGCGATGCGTGGTACCAGGTTCCTCTCAGAACTCTCCCTTAAATTCCTGATTCTCTCATACAGCCTCGCAGGCCTTCCCTCCCGGGCAGCAGCCCATGGGCTGGATATTTCTCTTCTCATCTGTCTCCCATGAAAACTTACCCATAGTGTATATCATTCATTTTGGGTCCCCTCCTCTGTTCTCCATGGTGACCGGCAGATTTCTTTTCCCTCTGCGAGGCCTCCTCAGTTACGTGCTCGTATTTTGGCAAGGACCTTTGGGAAATATAATGCCTTCATTCAAAGGACTGACTGATGGTGGAATTCCAGGTGCTGGGGCAGGTTGCTGCAGAGCTATTCCGGAGCAGGAGAGCCTCTGAGCTCCATTAAATCGTAGCCACGTGACCTGACGTAAGAGGACAGACTGTTCTTCCCGTGAAAAGTTTTCATCTGCAAACCAGCATGCTGCTGTCAGGTGTAGGGTTAAGCCATCAAGAATGTGCTCAGCAGCAGATGGTTGACTGACTCACTGAATGAATGAATGAGTGAATGGATGAATCCCAAACAAGAATGGAACTCAAGACCTTGATCTCATCAGCCCTTGACCTCATACAACCTCCCAAATTCTGGGAGTCAAAGCAGAAGGCCAGGGGTCCCCATCATCCCTTCCTCTAACATCAGGGTGCAGTCCAGGTGGTGGATGTAGGCACGAAGGAAAGCAACCCTTCCCAGAACCAGTCATCAGCACCCACTGGCCTGGACAAGGGGCCAGCGGGGCAGCTCCTCCCCAAGGCTGGCCCAGAACACCCAGGGCAGGGGACGAGGTCTCTCCCTGCCTCCACTCCATCCAAAACCCCAAGTCCCACAGAAGTGCATCTTCTGGAAAGAGCCTGAAAGAGACGCATGATTCTGTCCCGTTTCTCCGTTCCCCCTCCTGCACTTAACCTCCTATTAGGGACAAAGAGATGGGAATAGAGGACAATAACATCTGTTTTTCCAACAAGCCAGTGACAATGCAGATCTGGAGGCGGAGCTCACGTCAGCACTGGGGCCCAGATGCAGCCCTGCAGCTGCGGAAGCAACTGGCACTTGATCATTTCTCAGAGAGATTATCTCCTGATCAGCCGCTCCTCGCCTGTTTGCTTTATCCTCACCCAAGGAGCCATCGCTGCTCTCTGCAGTATCAGGCCGGCCCCTCTGCTTGCTTTTTATCCCCGTCACGGGCTGGGCCCCTGTTGCGGAAGGAACCTGGAAGCCACAAGTCCTCCAATCTCAGTCCTCCCTTCTTGAGGCCAGGACCAAGGCTGGGACGCTGGCCCATACCACAGAGCGTGGTGGAAAGAGCACTGGGTTAGGAGCCAAAGGACCTGGCTTCTAATCCCAGCTTGGCCACTGGCTCTGCGAACTTAGACAGCTATGTCTGCCTGGGGACATTGACAGCAAAGTGCTTAACCTTGCTGCAGGAGCCTCAGTTTCCTCTTCTCTAAGATGGGCACTCTCATAACTCCATCCTAGAATTGCTCTGAGTCTCAAAGGTGGTAACACACATATGTGAGCCTCATTCGGGTCAGACAGCAGATGAGCTGAGAACAAGGAGGGGGAGATGTGCTCTGTGGGTTTTTGTAGGTGATCTTGTCTGAGGCTGCTCACACCTAAGGATGATGTCTACTAGATTTGCAGAAGCCGCACTTCTGGTCCAGATGAGAGGGACGGCTGAGGCAGCCTCATGGGCCAGGCTGCACAAAGCCATAGATTCATCCGCCCCATTTGCCCTCTCTCTGTTGTGCCTCAACCCTCCCTCTTCTGCCTCCCCTCTGACTCCTCCACCTCGTGCGTGACCAGCACGGGAAGCCCCCACGTGCAGCAGGGGCTGAGGGGGAGCTGCAGAGAGGGTTAGGGGAGGGAAGTGAGAGGAGAGCAGGAAAGAGAATGGAGAGGCAGGCAATGACAAGAGAGGCAGCTGTGGTTCTTTCAACATTTTAAAAGAGATTTAAATTGAATATGAGATTATAAAAATACAACCCATCATGCTTTCCCTCCATCAAAAGAAAGAGGTGTTGAAAATGAAAGAGATTTTTAACCAAATGAGTGCCACATTTAGAGTCAGAGAAGAGCTGATTCGGGTTGAGGCGCTGCTGTCCTGCAGCCACGTGACCTTGAGCAACTCACCTCCCCACTCGGCCCGTGAAACCAGCCCAGTGCGCACTCTCAGGGCCATGGGGAGGCCAGGCTGAGATGCACAGAGAAGGGCTTGGCGACCCCCGGGTTGCTGCCGAGACCCAGAGTCTCTCCCGGGATGGCAGTTAGGCAGTGTGCACGGGCTGCTGTCAGGCCCCCTGCTGCCTCAACTTCCCCATCTCAGGACAGAATCCCAGGAGTGAACGCCCTGCTCACAGCAGCCCAGGCCACCTCCAGGGGTGGCCACCCAGGCCAGGTACCGAACTGCTGAGAAGGACAAGAGAACGCATACCACAGATCAGCCGGGGCAGGCAGTGGGGTTCCCAGCGCAGAGCCTGGCCCCTCCCAGGAGATGGGGCCCCTCCTGGAGAAGCAGGCTCTGGGCTCTGGGGGAGCAAGATTAGCTGCAGCCACCGATGGCCCAGGGCACAGATTACACAGCACGCTTGCCCACTTGACGAATTCGGTTATCCTTGCACTTCACCATCCCCTCACTGTCCCTTCTTGGAAGAGGAATGACTCTTCTCAGGAGAGCAGCCCACCTCGTGCCCAGCCTCTGTTCTGAGCTGGCAGGATAACGAACGGCTCCATCTCCCTGCCTCTGCCCAGAGCGGCTCTGGGCTATCATTTGCTCACAGCCCCCATGGTTTCCTTTTATTCTCTCTGGAATTGCGCGGAGATTGGTTATCTGGTAATTGAGATTGTTTTACAAGATGTCACTCATTGCATTGGGTTCCATTAATTTTCGGCCCTTCCTGAAACCCAGAATAATAACTGCCCTGCTGGCTGGCGGGGAGGTGTCCCCACATGTACACAAATGCACACACATGCACATGGGCAAATTTTTTAAATATAATGACAACCCTGGTAAAACAGACTTCAGACATTTTCTGGACTTCCTTCTCTTGTTGACCTTCGACAGGAACCCAAGGAGATGATGTTACCTCTCCCCATAGCACAGCTGGGAAATAGGGCCCCCTCAAAATTCCTTTAACCTAGAGATTTTGGAGCCCCTCTGAATGACAGGCCGTTCACAATTGTGGTGCCTAAGACCATCTGTCTCTCCATCCAACACTTTCTTAGCACCTGCTTAATGGTCAGGCTCCCAGGGCCATGGGGCATTCAGATGGGAAGCCACCTTGACAGTCTCTGGCCCTAAAGCTAGAACCTCAGGGATACTGGGCTGGGGGGAGTGACAGCCATAGTCACCTCAGTGGGATTCCAGTCTCAGCACGACCAGGCTTAGGTCTCCCGGAGAGAAAGGCTCCAAATGGGTCATCCCTCGGTTTCCTTATAGAGCCCTATGTGGGTGCCCCCCAAAGGAAATCCCCAAAGGGACCCCCCCACACACACACACACATAGTTTTACAATTTATAGTTTCATTTCTTTTCTGTCTCCTGCCTATCTTATAAGCTCTTTTGAGGACAGGGACCTGGCCTTGTTCATCTTCTATTTTTACTTTTTAACACAGTGCCTGGTACTTATCAGGTGGTCAATAAATGTTTGTTGAGTGAATGAATGAACGTACAGGCATTGTGCCAGCACTGTGAAGAACACCGTCGTGTCAGTCCTGGGTCCTCGGCCCTTTAGTAGGGAAGTCTGAGATTATACAGAAACAGCCACATTCTAAGATGTTCATCAATCAGAGGGAAAAGGGGACTCGCTTTAGGAAGTAGCTGCTACATACCAGGCACCATGCTAAGTACTCTATGAACAATATTTCATTTAAACTCAAAACTACCCTGCAAGGCAAGTACTATCATCCTCTTTCACACAGAAGGACCTGGAAGCTCAAAGAGGTCACGCAGCTTGACTGAGCCCACCCAGTAGGCGAATGATACACCCTGGACTTAATTAAACCCAGTGCTGTCAGACTCCATGAGTGTTCTGCCAGTCGAGCCCTGTGAAGGATATGAGGAGTGTCCGGTTATCTGTCTTTCCTCTGGGTTGTAAGATTCCTAGGGATGGGGACCAGGTCTTATTCACCATCATACCCGAGAGCCTGGCAAGTGCTGGAACCTAATACTTGCTCAATTAACAGTGAATGACTGACTGGTGTCACAGCCGCCTGCAGATGGCGCCAGAGAGGATCAGGGGTCAGAAGACGGTGAAAGGCGTCTGTCCAGAGCAGTGAATTGATCAGAGTCTGGAGCAGTGGGGCATGGAGAAATTAACCTCTGCTGCCCTCATTCTCCCACAGCCCTTGTGCCTCTGTTATGACACTTGGGATGGCATCAGACAACTCACGGATGTGCTCTCTCCCCATCAGCTCTCTGTGAGTCCTCACAGGGCAGGGGCGTGCCTCACTTATCTTGAGTCCTGGGACAGAGCTCAGAGCAGGATCTCAGTAGAGGTGCTTGGCCAGGGGAAGTGTCTGCTGGAAGGCCTGAGTTGGTGACAGTGGTGACCTCTGACCCTCTGGGCAACTCCCCCGAATCTGGGCTCCTCATCGCCTGGCCTTCCCTGGCCTCAGTGCAGCCTAGAGCCGAGGCAGTCTTCCCATGCCCCTGACATGACGCCTTCCCTGGGCCTCGTCCCTCAAAGCCATTCATCTTGATTAGGCATTGGCAGCCTTGGCTGATTAAAGGCCCCATCATCCCCTCCTGTTTGTTTCTCAGGAAGGAGGTGTCAGGGTTTCTCATTCTTCAGGCTTTGACCTTGGCAGTGGTGCGATGGCCCTCAGCACACCGGCCTCAATGCTGCAGTTGTCTGGCTGTGTGCCAAAGAGGTTGATTAAGGAGATCTTTGCCCACACTCTCAGGCAGCAACCAGAGGGCATTCTCCAGCTGGGGGGAATTGCTGGCAGGTGTCCACCAGCATGTCAGCATCCAAGGAAACAAGCACCCTCATGGCCACCTCTTCCTAGAAGCTTTGATGACCACTCATCATCACCTCTTCCTGGAAGCCTTCTTGATTAGCTCCATGCAGCACCTCTGTCTCAACCCTCAGTGCGCTGTGGTCGTCTCCGCTCATAGTTGACGTGGGTCAGCCTCCCTTCACTGAACCCCAAGAGTGAGTCTTCTGTGTCCCAAACAGCGTGTAACTATCAGCTCCTGGTGCTGCTCACCCTGAAGGTGGGGAGGGGCTCTTTCAGTCT